GGACAACGAAGGCGGGGACTTCTCGACTACTTTGCTCGGGGCGGCCTTCGCCTTCGCTCTTGCAGCCGCGGTTGCCTCGCTGCTGGGGCCGCTGTCCTCTTCGGAGCCGCTGTTGGAGCCGCTGTCCTCTTCGGAGCCCGCTGCGTCGGCAGCGGCCACGGCAGCTGTTGCAGCTGCCACGGCCGATTCTGCGTCCGAGTTGTTGCAGCTGCCACGGCTTGGCGAAGCTGCCCTCGACGCGGCCGCAGGGCTCGGGCTCGGGCTCGGCGAAGCTGCTGCCCTCGAAGAAGAAGCAGGGCTCGGCGAAGCTGCCCTTGAAGAAGAAGAAGAAGAAGCAGGGCTCGGCGAAGCAGCTGCCCTCGAAGAAGAAGCATGGCTCGGCGAAGCTGCCCTCGAAAAAAGAGGGGACGACGAGGCTGGAGGGCTCGGGGAAACCGCCCCAGCGGACGACGACATTATTATTTTGAGCCAAGTCCTACGGACCACGGTGGTGACGATGGTGATGGTGATGGCGATGCTGATGGTATGGATGGTGATGGTGATGGTGATGGTGATGGTGATGGTGATGGTGATGGTGATGGTGATGGTGATGGTGATGGTGATGGTGATGATGATGATGATGATGATGATGATGATGATGATGATGATGATGGGGATGGTGATGATGGTATGGTGAGGGCGGTTGTGATGGTGATGATGGTGATGGTGATGATGGAGATTCTGGATGTGATGAGCACCACCATCATCACCATCACCATCGCCACCACCATCAGCACTACGATTTGATAACCACCATCATTACAATCGTCGTCGGCATCAAAAACCATCAAAAACCTAAAAACACTCAACCGACTCAACCTAAATTCGCCCTAAATCAAGCCAGCTGTTGTCTTCTGCTGTTGGACTCACAGCTCTCCACACGCCTATAACCTGGCTTTCAGAGGGTACAGTCAACCCGTAGAATAAGGATGCGCGATAAGGATGCAAGGGCCTTGGACGCCCATTTCGAAGCGTTTCGAGCGGGGCGCGGCCAACGAAGGTGTCCAAGGATGGACCCAGGAAGCAAGGATGCAAGGGTACCCTTGGGAGGGATGCCTATTCTTACTCTGCGGGTCGACTGTAAGGCTTTGCGCAACTCCGCAAGAGTTGAGTTGAAAAACAGGGTTAGGGTGGCAACCCCTGCTAAGCCCTTTTCTCTGGGGCGGGGCACTACCGCCGCTGTTCCCTCTTGCAGGCGCTGTGAATCCCTGGCCCTCCAGCCGAACGATTGGCCGTGACGACGTTGGATCCCTTGTGCGCGCTGCTTTTTTTTCCGCCGCACGGCAGAGGCCATCCGCAAGGGCGCTCGAATTGTTGTGGATACCACGACAATGGACACCCTTACCGTCTTATCACTGAATTTAACATGTGTGTAACATGTCGGAAAATGTTCTGACCATGTTTTAAACGTGTGTGTGTGTGTGTGTGTGTGTGTTTCATGCTTACAACATGTCTAACACATGTGTTGGACATCTGGAATGTATTTGGCAACATGCTTCCTCTCCATTGATTTGGGCGCCCGAGTGATCAGGGGGTAACTCGGGTCCGGGGTAACTCGGGATCGGAATCCCGTAAAACGAACCCGAGTTAGCCCTGACCCGAGTTACCCCTGATGATTCGGGGCTCTGGACGCCCGAAATATCCGGGGTAACTCGGGTCCGGGGTAACTCGGGTTCGGAATCCCGAAAAGCGGACCCGAGTTAACCCTGAACCCGAGTTACCCCTGATGATTCGGGGCTCTGATTGATCGTCCTCCACAGTCGAACTGACGGGGGCGTTCGGCCGACCAAGTGTGGGCTGCAGGGGGGGGCGCGCGGGGGGAGAAAAGGCGGCCGCGGAGGACAGGGGGGAAAGGGGGGGCCGCTCACGGCCGAAAGCGCTTCAGGAGGGGCGCGCTGGGGCGGCCGCTCTGGGGGGCAGGCGTCCCCCCAAATGGCTCTAATACAGTCGGGGCCTTGACCTAAGGAACCCTAAATAAGGAACGAGGCCCCATTTTTCCATAAGTCAAACTTCGATTTCCGATCGAAAACATAAGGAAAACCTGAGGCAAGCTGTGAAACACTTAAGGAACGCGGAGCCCCTCCCCAACGAAAAGGGCTCCTTCTTCAGGGCCCCGACTGTAGGGCCACAAGGTCACACAAGATGGCACAGCCCGATGCAGCTCAGGTACATGGCCTCGGCCTGCCACATCGTCACCCAATCAGATGCTTCGAACATGTGAATTCATAAAAAAAAACTTAGGTGTCGCTAGATGGATGTCGTGCCTTTGCAACCCTCTGGGCACGGGCGGTTTGGGCTGGTGCTTCCTCAAGCATCCTTCTTCCGCTTGGGAGAGGGCTCACCCCTCAAGCTATCCCCATTCCCTGGGGTCGAAAGCAAGGCTTTTCGAGGCGTCAGAATCAACGGGTCCGTTTCCGACCAAGATGGCTGAAAGAGGGCCAACAAAAATCGTCCAAGGTGGCTCCAAGAGGCCTCTAAGGTGACACGCGAGGGCCCATTATGGGCCAAGATGGCGTTCAAGATGCCACCCAACGGCCTCAACACAGCCGCCAGACGGTGCTCAATGGTTTGCGCGTGCCTTCTCACATGTTCGCTTCCACGTGATTTCTAAGGCCTCAGGCTGGTTCCAAAATCGCCTCGGAAAGCCCCAAGGAGAAGCCATAATGGCGCCATGACGGCCCCGAAGCACCCAAAAGCTCCCCAAGAGGATCCCGAGAGGCGCGTTGGTCTTGGCTCCGACCAGGGCAGGCAAATTGATGCAGTCCCACAATCAATATCCAATTAGTCTGACGAAAGACCCAACCATATGCAGTTGCGAGAACCGCGAAGGAGATATAACGAAGAAGGAAAGCACACGAACTCCGAATAGCGCACGCAGTATACCCGCTGCTCTCCTAGGCAGCGCGCCGCAGGAAGAGCGAGGCGCGGAGCAGTGCAGGCAAGGGGGTGACGAATGGGTGGGACGCATGCGAACTTCCGGTGGAGCTCCCCATGGGCCACGAAACGTGTGCGCGGGGCATGCCGAACGAAATGGGCGGGGGGGGGAGCGCATGCGAACGTCGCAGCTGGGGCCTTCGGTGGAGCTCCCTGCGTGGATACGACACGTGTGACGGGTGTGCCGACATGAAGCGGTCGGACGCATGCGAACGCCGCTACTGGGGCCGTCGGTAGAGTTCCACATGGGGCCACGAGCTGTGTGAAGGGCGTGCCGACCTGGGTCGCGCGCACGCATGTGGCCGCGCGCGCCGGGGCTTTGGGTGCTCCCCAGGAGGCCACGAAACGTGTGAGGGGTGCGCCGAAATGGGCGCGGCAGACGCACGTGGCCACCCCCACCCCGGTGCCTTACGCGGAGTTGCCTATGGTGCCACGAAGCGCTGCACTGCGTGTAGCGGACGCAGGAGCAGAGGGCAGGAAATCCCCCCCCACGATATCCACCCCTTGAGCAAACGCACCCACAGAACGAATCGAAGAAAGCCCACTAAACGCCCAGGGTCGTTTGTAAACGCCGAGTGTCGCGTCCGAGTGGTTGCTCCTCCCTTGAACGTGGCCACGCCCACTGGGGTCTTCGGTGGAGCTCCCGATGGGGCCACGAAGCGCCGTACCTGGAGTGGCAGACGCATGCGGGCACCCCCACTGGGGCTTTCGGTTCAGCATAATTATCTCGCGGTTCGATGTTTGGTGGGTTGACACTTTCCCGAATTCGTCAGAAAGTGCCAGATAGCACCAGGATATGTCGGATACCAGTGCTGTCTAAACAGTTCTGAGAAATTCAAAGATAATTCCTCAAAGTTTGCAATCATCTACGGCGCGCAGGCAACAGCCCCGCAGCGTTCCAATCAGGCCGACGCATCGTTTCAGCCCCGTTCGCGCTTAGATGCGCAAGCAAATCCAAGAGAAAGGTCCTCCTCCTCCTCCTCCTCCTCCCCTTCCTCCTCCTCCACCTCCTCCTCCGAATTCCTGATATATCCTCCCCTTCCTCCTCCTCGTCCTCCTCCTTTTCGTCCTCCTCCTGCCCCTCCTCCTCCCCTCCCTGTTTTCGGTCTTGTTCGTCCATGGCATCCTCCTTATCCGGACCCATCTTCATCCATCATGTTCCTCCTCCTCCTCCTCCTCCTCAGTTTCCGCCCCCCTCCTCTCCCACCTCGCGCCCCCATGTCCCCCGCTCCCTTTATCCGCCGCATGACCGTCGGTTCATCGCAATCGCCATTTTCCTCGTCATTGCCGCCGCCATCGCATTGTCCGTTTTGGGTCGCGCGAAGATTCTTGCAAAGGAAAAGGGTAAGGAGGGCAGGTGTGGGAGGGCGAAGAGGAGGAGGAGGAGGGCGAAGAAAACGAGGAGGCAAAAGCGAAAGAGGAAGAGCAGCAGGAGGATCAGCAGGAGGACGTTGGGAAAGAGGAGGAGGAAGCGGAGGAGGAGGACGACGACGACGAGGACGAGGAAAACCAGGTGGAGCAGCAGGAGGAACAGTTCTCTCGGCGGCGAAAAACACCGGCCCGAAAACCTCCTCGTCGCGGCGGACACTGTTTTCCCACTCTTGTTGGGAGGGCTGGATAGCGCCAGGCTTCTTACCCCGGGGAATACTGCCCCCCAGGCCACCCTGCACTAGTCCAGCTAAGGAGGATGGGGGAGGGAAGAGGAGGAAGGGGAAAAGGAGGAGGAAGAGGAGGTGGAGGAGGAGTGGAGGGGGGGAAGATGGGAGGAGAGGCGGCGGAGGAGGACGACGAGGAGAAGGAGACGAGCAATGGAAAAAACGCGCGTTATCTTCAAATCCACTCGGCCACCGGTAATGATTCATTTTCTATCCTTGAGCACGTTGGAAACGCGTGTCTTGTAAGTCCATCGAGCACGTATCGATTGAAGACGTGAATACGTAGGGCATCACGACGCCATGAAATTGAGATGACGGCTTTCTGACGAATATGGGGCGTGAAGAAATATGTCGCGTTTGCCCGACATCTTTTGTACGACACTTTTCGCGAGCGCTCAGCCCCGTCAGCGCACAACACTGCCATGCATGCAACGCCTACGACAGCAGCTAATCACGCAAAGGCAGGGCAGGCAACCGCTCGATAGCCGAGGCGAAATACTGCAATTGATTGCGCCGCAATGGGGGCGGGAGCGAGGGTTCCCGTAACCACTGCGGCTCAAGACGCGCCTTCGTGCACTCCGAGGCCAAACTGGAGAAACCGAACTCTGCTAGCATTGTCATCGTTGGGAATCAGCCGCGCTACTCTGGCCGTCGGAATGGCGTCCTCCCGCGAGGGACCGGGTCATGCGATCGCTCCTCTTCGCCGGACCCCCCCAAATCCAGCTACGCGCACGTTAACTTCAAAATCCAGTCGGTCACCGTTAAGGTTTGGCTATAGCTTCCAGGCCAACGGGGCGACTCTTCCATTGTGGGCAATGCAGCACTTGCCCCACGCGCGCGCAGACGCGCGCGCCGCCAGCTTTGCATCTATATGCTGATGATTGGCTTTGAAATTAACGTGCGCTTTCCAACGTTTTCAAATATAGACAAATCGCCATGTTGGCTGGAAGCTAAGATGACCCCTCAACGGTAACCAACCAAATTCCGGGCGACCCGCCCGCGCGGGGGCCTCCTGATCGCGCGCGCGCGCGGACGCGAGAGCGGCGAGTTGCTTGCATTGTCCACAGGGGAAAAGGGGCCTCGTGGGCCTGGAAACTGCAGCGAACCATCAACGGTGATCAACCTGACTTCGGGCGACCCGCTCGCGAATGGGCTGCCCCCCACGCGCCGGGGGAGGAAAACAACTGCAACAAAAAGACAACAGAAACGCGGAAGGCCCCGCCGGCAAATCTCCCGCCCGGGCAAGGCGGGCGGGCGGGGCTCGGGGAGGCGGGGGGGGGAAGGGGGGCGCGGGGGGAGAGGGGGCAGGGGAAGGTCGCGCGCGCCCGCCCCCCCCTCGCTGCCCCACCCCCGCCGCGGCCCGGGGCGCCCTCGATCTCGCGCCCGAGGCCGCCGGGAACACTCTCGCAGCCGCCAAGGCGGCCTCGAAGTCCAAAGCTGACCAAATAACGCATGCCCCACGAGCGCCACCCCCCCCCGCCCGCCCGCCAACCCGCGCGATCCATCGACCCACCAACCAACAGCAACACCGCCACCGCCGCCTCCCACGCAAAAATCAATTACGTACCCCACGCCCGGACGCGCTGGCACCGACGCGACATGCGCTGGGATGACAACTAGTCTTGATTGCGCACGCGCAACATGCAAGCGCGGTTTGCGCGCGCGCGTGCGCGATGCACTTGCACGGGCGCGCGATGCGGCGTGCGCTGCGCTTGCTTCGCGCGCTTAAAATATGCTCCCCGCGCATCGTGCATGCGTGCGCGCGCTCGTCTGCCGCGCTTACCACGCCATGTAAGCCGCCTGGCTCGCATGCAAGCGCATGCAATGCGGGATCACAAAACTCGAGCGTTCCGGCCTGCGGGAAAAACAATGCGCGCGTCGACGCGCGACGGGCCCGACCCACGGAGGCGCGGGCCTCCTCGAAGATCGCGCGGAACTGGCGCCGCGGCCCCCGCGGGCGTTCGGCGCCGCTCCACAGGGCCGACCGCTCGCGGCGCGGCGCGCTGCGCGCAACGCAAATATCAATACAGTCGGGGCGTTGACCTAAGGAACCCTAAATAAGGAACGAGACCCCTTTTTCCCATAAGTTTAACCTCGATTTCCCATAGGAAACCTCAAGAAAACCCGAGGCAAACTTTGAAACAAACAAGGAACTCCGAGCCCCTGCCCAACGAAAAGGGTTCCTTCTTCAGCGCCCCGACTGTGTTTACCGTCGTCAGCTGAGGACCGCGCGGGGCCGGCGGCCCGCGCACCGCCGCGGCCCAATTCCACCGACGGGGCTGCCGCAACTCGCCGCGCGACCCCCCGAGCTGCCGAACCGCGAGAAGATTAGGGGCCCACATGCGAACCCTACCCCTACCCCCCACGATTTCTGAGGGGGAGGGTGGGGTTCACTTCGCTCGAACCGTGAACCCACCCTGCGAACCCCACCCTTCCCCTCAGAAACCGTGGGGGGTTAGGGGTAGGGTTCGCAGGTGGCCCCCTGAAGATGCCCTGCATCGCTGGAGCTGCCCCGTGGGGCCGCGAAGCGCTGTGCCGGGCGTGGTGGACGCCGCGCGGGCCCACGCAGCGCCGCACTGGGCGTGGCGGACGCACGTGCCTGGGGCCACGAAGCGCCGCGCCGGGCGCGGGCGCGCCGAGATGGCGGACACGCGGCGGGGGGGGGGAGGAGGAGGAGGGGGAGGAGGAGGAGGAGGAGGGAGGAGGAGGAGGAGGAGGAGGAGGAGGAGGAGGAGGAGGAGGAGGAGGGAGGAGGAGGAGGAGGAGGAGGAGGAGGAGGAGGAGGAGGAGGAGGAGGAGAGGAGGAGGAGGAGAGGAGGAGGAGGAGGAGGAGGAGGAGGGAAGGAAGGAACGCGCGGCACTGTCTAGGATGGCTGGGAAAACAAAACGCCTGCATGCTTTCGGCTCGGCAGTGACATGAGCTGGAAGGCACCCGGGCCAATGCGGACCCAGAATGGCACGGCGCGCCTGGAGATTGCATCCACGATGGCACAAGATGGCGCACATTGGCTCCAGATGGCTTCCAGAATGCCTCCAGGGTGGCCCCGGGGCCTCGGAGGACGCGCGCGACAAGCCAAACCCATGCAACACCGAATCGTGGTTGAACGGCGCTCACCTCCTCTTCTTTCTGGCTCTCTCAAGGCGGCGCCGATGTCGCCTCAGACAGCCCCGAGGAGGCCATGGCGCCAGACGGTCACCTGGATCGGCCCAAAGGGCCCAAGAGGGCGCACATAAATTTGCAAGATCGCCCCAGAAGCCCCTACATGCCTTGAGACTGGCCCCAAGAGGGCCGCAGAATGGTCCAAATTCGTGCTTCAAGGAGCTACCAAATCGAGGAATCCGCCAAGGTTTGACGGCTGCCACCCTCCTTGTCTCATCGATTGTTTCTACGCTGCCCCGATCAATGGAACTCGCCTGGGCGTCGTTTCTGGACGGGCCGGCAGGGGCGCTCAAAGCGCCGCCGCGCGGCGCATGGTCTTCCCGACAGGGCCCCAACTCGGGAAGACAGCAACAGATATGCGCGACAGGAGTTGCATGCCAGCCCCAGAAGGCACAAGAGATTAGAAGCGACGGATTTCACAAGCAACCTAAATTGAGGGGCGAAAAAACGACCCTACCCTGGGTTACAAGCGCGTGGTCTGTAAACCTCCTGGGAACCCCAAGGCCTAGAGCCGCCAGGACGCGGCACATCACGCAGGTTTTACCCTGTCAGCCCACAGGAGTTTCAGCGCACAGCGCCTCGTAAACCAGGGTAGGGGCGTTTTTTTATGCCCTTGACTAAAGCGACGCAGGAAAGAATGGCAGCAACCCAACGGGGGTTCAATAACGTCCGACTCCCAATCAATACACCTTCTGACACGAGGCATCCAGGCCCACCCTAGCCAAGCCACCCTAACCCAGAGAAAATCCAAAGAGGGCCCCGACATGGCCCCAGGAAGCCCCCAGCGGACTCCAAGACGCCCGCGGCGAAGCCCCAGGAAAACTCCCGCCCGGCACGGCCCCGCGACTCCGCAAAGCCGCAGACCCCCCCCCCCACACCAGGATTTGGAAGCCCGAAACGGGTCCGGAAAGAATGGGCACTATGCCCAACAACAAATGTTGTCCCAAGCCAACAGGGGCCGCTGTTGGGCAGGCGGCCTTCTGTCTCGAATGGACACAGGCCGCGGCGGCGTGGACAGCGAATCCTGTTCAAAATGAACAGGAATTGTTGTTGGGCATTGTACCCATTCTTTCAATACCCATTTCGGGCGTCCAAACAGGAGGGCCCCATCGAGCATCAGGGGGCGCCGGCCGCACCCTGGCGAGGCGGCCAGGGCCGGGCCGGCCCGGAATTGGGCTGCGGGGGGCAGCTGGCTGACAGGCCCGGGCCTCCGGCGCTCTGTCCCAGGAGTGCCCCGCCCAACGCAATTTTCACGCCTGCCTGGGGCCGCCATCCGCGCGCCTCCGCGCCCGAACTCCAGATTCGGGTCGGGCGAAAGGGAGGGATAGCAAAGGGGGGGTTTGAGAATCAGCTCACGTAGCTGATTTTCCCGGCGCCTCCCGGCGCCGGAGGCGGCTATGCATCGAGGAATTGGCCCCTCGGTGAGGCCGAAACCAGCTGCATGCAGCAAATTTCGTAACCCCCCCTTTCCCAATCCCCCCCTTTCGCCCGACCCGACAGATGGAGGGGCCATCTTAGAAAAATCTGGATGGCCCGCCTTGGCCCCGAAGTGGCCCGCATGGGCCTTCACCTGCCCTGGGGAGGGCCCCGAGGCGCCAAAGGAGGCTCCGATCCCCCACGAGGGCTTCCAAGAACTCCCCGAAGATCTCTTCGGCAGGCCCGGTGGCGAACAGCACTGAACATGCGCGCGGGGCCCAGTGTGCCCCGCGGAAACCAAACACTGCGCACGCGCACACATGAAGGGGCCCCAGGACACACAAATAAATACACACAAATAAAAAGATTCCCCATATTTCCTCATATTTTCTGGGTTTTTGTCTTCCCGCCCAATTCCCACATTTTCCTATATTTTCTTGGGAAACGACGATTAATTGTGTCTGTGTGTTTTTTCCCTTCCTGAACACAGCAGCGCGGGCGCGCTCCGAAGACCGCGGCCCCCTGCCTGCCTGACCAGCAAACGGCCGCGGCGCCGCGCCCCGCCGCGACGGGCGTGGGCCGCCCAGCCGCCGCCCGCGGAGGCGGCAGCGGGGACTGCCCCCGCGGACCCCGCGGTGGAAGCCGCGTCAGGGGCACCGCCGGTAGAGCCCAGCCCCGAGGCCCGAAGCAGCACGGCGCGCGCGCGCGAGCGGCTCATCGCGACTAGTGCCGGAGCGACGAACGCAACGACGAGGCGATCCACGGCCGGGCGCAAGCGCGGCGCCTTCCGCGACGCGTTCAAGAACACGCACGGCGATGTAAGCCGCGCGGGAACGGATGCTCGCCCGGGGGAGAACAAGCGCCCGCGAAGACCGCGCCGAGGACGAGTCCCCGCGTCTGTCTGAGCGATCGAGTTGGAAATCTCACAAATTCTGAGCGCCCTGCGGCGCGCTGCAAGCGTCGAAACTTGAAC